AAAAAAAAAAAAAAAATTTTTTTAAGATGCCCAGCTTTCCTGAAACATCACATTCCACATTATGGAAAATAGTGTTTTAATGTGAGATACCTACAAAGATAATTACCCTGGGGGAAATTTGTCTTAAGCAGTAGACTGTCAGTGAACTCTTCATAGAAAAAAATGTACACTGCCTCATTCTTCTAATTTTTCAAATAAATTAAAAATGAACTTTTCATGTAATGCATTTGAACAATGGATAGTGTGTAGATATGTGAACTGTGTTCACAGACATTAAATGTACACTCACACTCCTTCTCTCTCAAAATAAATAAAAATATAGAAAAAAGAAAGGAAGAAAAATGCCAAAGTATCACAATGTTTATTTTTCTGTATTTGCCAAATTTTCCTCAATGGACATCAATTAATTTTTTTTAAGTTTGTTTATTTTTAGAGAGAGAGCACACAAATGAGATAGGGGCAGAGAGAGAGAATTCCAGGTAGACTCCACACTGTCAGCACAGAGCTCGATGCCAGGCTCAGTCTCACAAACCATGAGATCATGACTTGAACCAAAGCCAGACACTTAGCCCGTTGAGACATGCAGGGACTCAAATTACTTTAAAAATGAGAAAAATTACTACGTCTCAAAATCTGCATGACATGAAAGCAAAGGCAACAAAAGTAAAACAAATAAGTGGGACTACATCCAATTAAAAAGCTTCTGCATATGGGTACCTGGATGGCTCAGTCGATTGAGCTTCTGACACCTGATTTGGGCTCAGGTCATGATCCCAGGGTCAAGGGATTGAGTGCCAAGTCAGGCTTTGTGCTGAGCATGGAGCCTGCTTAAGATTCTCTCTCTCTCTCTCTCTCTCTCTCTCTCTCTCTCTCTCTCCCCCCCCTTTCCCCCACTCGCTCGTTCTCAAAATCTTCTATAGACAAAGGAAACCATCAACTAAAATAAAAGGTAAACTTTGGAACGAGAGAAAATATTTGCAAATCACATATGTGGTAAGGGGTGAATATCTAAATGAGGGAAGAACTCACATAACAGCAAAAAACACCAATAATCCAATTAAAAATGGGCAGAGGAACTGAATAGACATTTTTACAAAGAAGACATAAAGTATGGCCAAAAGGTACATGAAAAGATGTTCAAGATGAGTAATATTAAGGAAATTCAAACCAAAACCACAATGAGATATCACCTCAAACCTGTTAATATGGCTGGTATCAAAAAGACAAACGATAACAAGTATTGTTGAGGATGTGAACAAAAGGGAACCTTCAAGAACTGGTGGTAGGAATTTATATTGGTGCAACCACTGTTGAAAACAGAGGAGGTTCCTCAAGAAATTGAAAACAGAACTACCATATGACCTAGCAATTCTACTTCTGGGTATGTAGCCAAAGGATATAAAAACAAGACAGTAAAGAAATGCATGCATTCCCATGCTTATTGCAGCATTATTTGCAACAGCCAAGATACAGAAACAACCTAAGTGTCTGTCAACAAATGAATGGGTAAAGATGGAATATTATTCAGCCATGAAAAAGAAGAAAATCCTGCCATTTGCTACAACATGGACTCAGGGCATTCCACCAAGTGAAATAAGGCAGACATAGAAAGACAAATACTTCTACATGAAAAGTCTAAAAAAGTCAAACTCACAGAAACAGAAGAAAAGTGGTTGCTGGGGACTGGGGGTTGGGAGAAATAGGAAGAAGATGGGAAAAGGAACAAACTCTCAGCTACAAGATGAACAAGGTCTGATAATCTCATGTATAAATGGTGACTACAGTTGGTAATGCTATATAGTTGAAATTTGCTAAGACAACAAAACTTAAATCTTAGTCCCCCTCCCCCTGAAAATTAAACATATATATATATACATTTTTAAAGTCCCCTGCAATTACCACATTCTTATCAGTAAGGTTGTT